CTGTTTACTACAATTTGATTTTGTTATTTTAATTACATTGATTTCATTGCTCCGTACGGCTTACTCCAATAGTTATTAATGAAATTGTTTTGAAATTAATATGTGTTGAAATCAATTGGAATTTGATAAACTTGGAGATTGTTTGAAAAAACTGGAATTGTTGCATCAAATGAAATTAATTACTTTCCATGTAAAATTCTTTAAAAGCCAAGTCTAAACAAACACCTAGCTTACGTAATAATACGATGTTCTGTTCGTCTGTACTCGATTGCTTCTACGGTAGACCGAGGCTACGGTTCGACGCCTGGACGTCGAAATTCATCAAATTTGGTCTTTCGTATTATGTGTTGAGCTGTTTCTTAATCCCATCACGCGGTTTCGATCGCTGCTACGATCGCCGATCACCTAAGACATTCCACGGGCGACACGTTACTCGACGGTAGGACGATCGAAAAACGGAAAGCATATTCGACGCGGTTGAAAAGAAGAAAATCGCTTTGGGTATTTGCAAGTTGGTATGCTGAAATACCAACAGCCTATAGCCTTTTTGGGCTAGACGCTCGACGTCTGGCCAAGGAAGCTATCTTGACGTGCAGACGTTTAATGGCAGGTGCGTCACGTATCGCGAAGAAACACCTCACTCTGATCTGGAAACTGCCTCGAACTCGCACCTAACCTGCCCCAGTTTTTATCGGACCGTAATCAAGTACGGGGAAATCCATGGCCTCTCCCTCTGGAGACTGCATCGCCGTGGTTAGCTGGCAACTCGTCTACCTGATCTTCAGCTTGTCGGGTTTAGGGTTCTCGGTAATTTTCTACACCTGGTTATCACTTGTCTCCAAAGGAGTGAGAGCGTTCAAGGAAGATGTTTGCTTTTGTCGGTTCTTATCCACACGTTCAACATCCATTATCTAGATCATTAATTGGCAATCACGTACTCTGACACAATTCGTACATACATATACCTGTTTATACAATTTATGTACACCACTAATCTCAATTTATCATTGAAATCGTTTACTTGACTAATTAGAATGAAATGCTTGGAACAGCGAATACGCTGCATAAAAAAGCTGTAAAAATGTTCATGCAAAATTACTAGATAAATCGTGCCTTGAATGTCATCTTAAACGGCAATGTAATTACAGAATTTTTTTGAATAAATTTATGTGTTGGAGCGGAGCGATTCTGGTGAATCGTAAATTCAAGGAGGAAGCAAGAAAGTCGGGTTCGTAGTGTTTCTTAATCACGTCTAACTTTTTTCATGGGAAGCTCATTACTTTTAAATTCGTCCATAAGAAGATTCACGCTTGAGAGTCACTGTTTCGGTAGTATGGGGTCTATCAAATAAAGGTAATGCGTTCTGCGTCGGGTAATTTGACTTCCCCCTTCAAGATCCTTTCGCGTAGCTATCTCTTTCCGATTTGCATTTATTAACAGTAACTAACTAGCTCACATAAGTGCACATGTAGAAATGTCAATCGTCATAAAAATTCGTGCTGTGTAACACATTCTACAGTTTGAAACAATTCAAAGTATGTTCCTCAGAGAGCCAATTAGGAGTAACACGCGGTGTTTTTTTTTTATTGATTCAATTAGCGTTGCACTTAAACATAATCGTCGTGGCGTGCGTGCAAGTATCTTTCGGGTCGGTTAAGGTGGCGCCTGAAACGTATCCAAGATACATGCTGATCGCGCGGTTAGGATAATGAAGTTTAATGAGGATCAGTAGACGTCACACGAAGCGTTCGAAATGTACGCGTGCCAAACCGGTTTCGCTCTCCTCTTTTTTTAAAAGCTCTTTCAAGAGTTGTGATTCATGAGATCCCTCTTGGCTGCCCAACGGCCTGTAACATTGCCATCTTATGGCAGCGACGCAAGTGGTCTAGAGTACGAGAGCCCATTTAGAAGTGGAGCTGCCACTTTTTGCTTCCTGACTCTTTGATCCGTGAAAAAAAAAAAGGACCTCTTCGCTCGCTGACACAAAAAATTCGATATCTGCTTCGTATTGTTAAGTCCCAGCACTTTCGATCCCTATAGATCAATACCGCAAACATAC